CCAGGAGCTGCCTGGGGTCCCCCCTTGAGGATGAAAGCGGTTCGCGGGCCCGATCCGGACAGACGGGGAGCCCATCTCGTACGAAAACGGGTTCCCCGCGGTGTCACGGGCTATGTGGGCGGCGTAGAAGTACGGCCGCCGTGCCGGGTCACTCCGAGTCCACACGCCGCGCCCTTCTGCTGACACAACGTCGACCAGCCCCAAGAGGCCAGAGGTGGGGCCTGTGTCCTTCGGAAAAGATAGGGGGAACCCCTTCCCCTTCCCTGCGGCTTTATCTGGGGTGCCGAGCTGTGAGGGTGACACGGCGAGAGGGTCGCGGTAGTGCGAGACCACAGAGCCCTCCACCTGCCCCATCTCGGCTGTGACAACACGACAGAGTGGCGCGGAGTGTGCAAGCGACCTCTTGGAGGGGACCATGCGTGGCCAGCTCGTCAACACGCTTCGGCCACCACGCACCACGACGGGTTGGTAGGGCAGCCGTGCCCCCCCAGCTGGGTACAGGATGTGGTGGAAAAAAAGTTTGGAGAGGCGCTTCTCTTTGGAGGCGTTGACATACCGAGGGAGGGTCGAAAAGAAATCCACCCTTGAGGAGGAATGCAGGTCTGCCCCAGCAAGGTGGTCGATCAGCGTAGTGGGTGTAGGGACACCTTCAAGATACTTGTGCAGTGTGTTTTTCTTCGCTTTGCGAAGGATACTGGTAGAGGCGAATGTCATTGGTAAATGGAAAGGAATGAACTAAATGCATTCACCTTTCCTATCGGTGATGAATAGTTGTGATGTATTAAGATGCGTGAGGACCTTTCCTTAGGAATGTAACCTCCTCCTTTTGCTTTACCAATGCGGAGCTCAATAAACGTAAGGGTATAGTTAAGCTTATGGAATAAATCCTGTTCACACTAATATTGCACGTAAGTTTGAGTACAAGATATGTTGATACGCATACACATTCATATTCATTTGTTACCTAAACGTTCATTCTGAGATTTACAATTCTTTTTATGTACAATCTAGAATAAAAAAATCTTAACGAAGTGTGCGCATGTTTACATCATAGGAAGCGGAAGGGGGGAGGGGGGCGCGAAGAAGGAATCACTAACAGAGTTATAGATTTATAGGTTAAAATTTTTCCCACCACGAGAAAGACCGACGAAAGGGAAAATAGGAAAACAATAAATATAAAGAAATGAGTTATGTAACATGTGGAAATACGAGTGTGAAAACGCACTCCACACAACAACAAGCCATAGGATAGTGGAAAATGAATCTAGACAACTGCGGGAGTGCCCATCGAATTTACAAAGCCGCGGGGGAGGACTTTTACCAATTAATAAAACTCATACTACTATATCTTTTACTTTTCTTTCATGTTTTTCATTCCCCTACATCATTCCTTTGCTTTAGATTCACTACAGGGGCAACTCATTTAGATTTAATCAGTTGTTCACCCGTTCACACCTACATGCTCATACACACAAACAATAAAGACGCACTGAAAATAAGCAGCCCCTAAAAGCTTATGCTAAGGTTAGCCCGCTTCTTTTCACTCAAAAAAAATTAGAAATCAAATAAAACGAGCATAATTGAGGCAACTTATGGAAAAAATATCGCTAATATGTATTTTGTCCTCAACATTTTTCATCTTTGCAGAAGAAATTACTCTCTGCATTGAATAAAAAAGAATGTCTATGAAACAATCAGATAAAATGTATAAAAAAGGTGACGCTACGACAAAGGTCCATTGGGGAGCACAAGCGGTAAATTCCGAACAACAGTAAAACATTAAACATGCACGTTCACGCACACACATGTGGAGGAAAACCACCATTCATGTGGTATATAGAAAATCGAATGAAATTCTAATCAAACGCTATACGCTTCTTTTTTAAAATGCTTACTGCGACTAAATCTCCATTACTTTTTGAATGTGTGAACATCCAAGACACACATAAGGTGTTGTTTTCTTGACTCCATGTAACCGCATTCGACACATAGCTAACCTTCACCGTGCATTCAAGCTTCTGAAATGTGACGAAAATAAGCAAACAATTTCTTCATATACTGTTGATTTTATCTCACCATCTCCTTATTGCTTCCCACTTCCATCATTATTTATTGACTAACCTCCTCCCCTACGTTTGGCAACACTTGTAAGTTTAGTTATTGCTGCTTTTATTGCATTGGAGAGCGTGATATTTTTCACAAAGAAGCATCATCCTATGCATTAAACGAATTCCTAATATAAATATATATATGCATCCTGTGCATTCGTTACTTCCGACGATTCGAATTGTGACTATGACGATTGCCGTTTACCACTTCAGATTCACGCGTAGATAAACAGGTAGGGCTACATGTGCCACTATCTAATGGCATGCAGTTCTTCACCTTTGGGTTGACGTTTTCCATCCATATTCTTGCCCCAAAGGTACGATACAACTCTCGCACAAGCGCGCGAAAATCGATGCTGCGATCAGAGTCATAGAAGAAACTAATCTTCTTCATGTCAAACTGATACTCTGCATCGATGAGTTTTATATCAATGCCGAACTCCTGGCAGCGCTGACGGCACGTCTTGAGCGCAACGCTCTCCGCATTCGCAAGAACGTTGTGGAGTTTATCCAACTCTTCATTAGTGGCCTGGCGCAGCACGTATCCATTCCCTGGTTTAATTTTCTGCTCATCAATGCCACACTCGTCCATGGAAGTGATATCGGGCTTGCCATTAGGGAGCCAGCGAACAGTCCTCGTCACCAACCCGCAATCAGTGCCGCGGTCACCATCCACCAGGACGTAGACTCCAGGCGTAATCGTTGGATCGTGGCAGGTGTACTTGTGAATGCGCTTCCGCTTAAATTCTACATATACTATTTGTTCCTTCGTCGATGCATTCAATGGGCCATGATTTGCACCACTCATATCTTCAATAGCATCGTCAGCCTCATATTCGGGTGTGTTGGTAGGTTGACTCACAGGATAGGGGTTTACAATGGCGGGGTTGATTTTACTGCCTTGACGTTCATTAATGTAATCCTGCCCACTCGCGGGCCCGGCCCCATCCAAAGGCACAAAGGATTTTCCAAAGCTAGTATGCCGATCCATACCGTTGGTATCGATGAAGTTTGAAGCAACGTTACTCTGGCTTGGCGATGTTCCCATCATCGCCATGCTCCCCCACAGTGCCGCTGTGTCTATAGGGGAATTAGCTGCATATGAATCTGGAGGGGGTGCCTCCCACGGTATTGATTTAGGTGACGAAGACTGCTGCTGTTGGTACTTTGGTACTATTGGAGGTGGATCAGCATTTTGGCTAGAGGGGGGAAAGGTAGGAATCCCCAAAGCTTCATTGTTGATTTTCTTTTCCCCAACATTAGTCGGGGGACTCGCGTCGGGAGTTTGTAGAGTTTTCGGGAAGCAGCCGTATTGCTGGAGCTGAGTAATGATCCCCTGTGCCTCACTTATAAGCACAAAGAGACGTTGCTGAAGGGCTTGCATGTGTGCAACTGAATTCACATTAGAACTAGACCCTCTTCCTTGTGTTTCGCTATGTGAATCAAGTGTACTCGGCTTGTTAAGGTTCGAGTTCGTCGCAAAATTGTTCGAATTGTTATAGTTCGATGGCATAACAGGCAAAGAAAGGTTGGAATCGCCATTCAGAAAGTTGTCCACCAAAGCGCGGTTGGAGTCCATATTAACTTTTTGTGTAATAATAAAAATGTCTTCGCCACTTTGAACAGAAATATAACGTTGATGAAAGTTAAAAAAATTATTTATTGACAGTTTCCTATATAATATAATCTTGCTATCTGTTTGTTTTATTATGTTCAGAGGGTACAATGTGAACACTCAAATTCGTTTTATTTTATAAATTGTGAGCGCTTTCCCTTCTATGGAGGATATCCTATTTATGAGGAAAAAAAGATAGCACAGACACTTAAGATTGCGTTTCCTAGCCTTCGCTTGTGCTACCTTGGTTTACCAGAATTTGTGTCTTACACAACGTGATGATATGGTAGATGTAGATATACTCGTGAGTATTTATGTATATCTTATTTGATACTTTTTTGCTTCTTTATGCGTGAGGGTTCTATGCGATAAAAGAAAAACAAATAAGATGAGTTATAGCAGACTGACTGATAGGAGGGAACAAGGTTTCCCTCTGCTTTTGCTATTATGTAATAAAGAGTCGAAACAAGGATGATCGTAAACTGAAAATCAAATACAACGGCGTTAATATAAAAGAGTATGTTCACCAAAAAAATGTGAAAGCTTGACCAAAATAGCTATGGCAAGATGGGAAGTAGACGAAATCATTGACTTGCAAACCGATAATGATATAAAACGAAAATCAGATTCATATAAACAACCAATCCTGTACTTTGGTTGCTTAGCTATTGGGATACTCATGTCTTAGCATCCAACATAGAAAGATAGCTTCATTTTGAAAGGGATAAACAATGCAATGTACACTTTTGTTGATTCTGTTTATAGCATTGAACCTATCCTACTTGCTATTTTCACTTTTCTATACAGAACGCATGTACATCCCTAGGCGTCGGCAGCCATACCAGACTACGCCAACACCCCCTGCTATCCCAGCTGTTATCCACATTCGTTTTTTACGCTTTTCCTCAGCCGATACGGGCGGGTAGTAGTACTCCATTGGCTCAGAGCTAGTTTTAAGGAGGGATCGATCATATTCCTGGCGTTGGATATGTTGCGCCACTTTTAGACGTGGCGAACGCACGTGTAGGGCCTCTGGCGAAAGATCTTCATCTGTAAAATAGCTCCGGGCCTGTTTAGCTGCTGGCCGCTCGGGTTCAGTGCCATGTACGTCGGCTTTAGCGGCATCTCGCATCGCGTCCGCGTTCTCTTCGCCGAAGTTTCGATCGTACATATAGCCCTTGGAGAAGTGGTGCTGGCGGAAGGGAAGCTGCATCTCAATGTTGCCCACCATTTTCTCAAAACTCTTATCGAAGTTTCCAGAAGAGGTCTCAAAAGGGTTCGGCTTGATTGTCTGAGACCTGCGGAGCAGGCGGGAGGTGTGGAATGCTCCGACAAGCGTCACAGGGGAGGAAAACATCATCTGACGGAAAGCCGAAATGTGTGTCTCCTGGTGATTTCCTAGCGTACACTTAGGCCAGACATGGCTTTGAATTTTGTGAACTGTTTTAATGCTCATACTGTTCTTGAATTATTGTTAGTAAAAGTAAATCGTGAAAGAGGAAGCAAGTGTGGTCAGGAACGTGCACAAAGGATGTGACGACTATGCGCAACTACCTTACCGTCAAAGTGATGAATTCAACCAGAATCGAAAAAGTTTCGTATTATCGATATGCTCACCGCAATCAAACGCACCAATCTAGGCAAATTAGACATATTTCCTCGCACATGTGCATTTACACCCAAATATATGTAATAACCGTGAATGAAGTTCACCCTCTCCTTATGATTTCCACTTTTATAGAGCTACACTATTTCGGAAATACTAATCCAAAGACCTATTTCCATTTCTAATGTTTGGATGTATTGATATCTTGACTTTTTTCTGCCACACTACTTTTGCTATTGTTAATATCCGTGGTGTCGTGAGGCGCAGAGAAAACTGTCAATAGGTAAAGGGCTTGCAAATTCTTTGAGGTGCAGGGCTGAAAACAGGAGATCAGATCAACTGGTGTCCAATCCTAACAGGATCCACAAACACTTCCTTTCTATTGAAAGCTGTTTGGCAGTGTAACAGGTCATGCGTGGCAAAAAGGAGCGAATGAAAGGCCTTGGGAAAGCTTGTGGGCATTTCTTGTGCGTTTAATTTTCATTTGTCCCTGCCACCGCCAACACTGAAGCTCCTACACTACATTTGAGTTAGAAAAAAGTTATTCAAGTTTAACTGGTGCATGTTTGTAAAAGGACTCTGGCGCTGCGCCGCTGGCAAGGGCGCATGTGAGAGGTGATGAGTGGGCTTGGAATGCGCCTTTCCCACGGAGGGAGGTTGGGGGACTACTGGACACAGGACAAGGGGGTAAGTGCACAGATTTTCAACTTTCCCATCATAAACTGTTTAAACATTATGATAGCATGTTGTTAGATTCGCTTAAGTCACATTCTAACAAAAAACGCAACCGACAAGAATGTTAAGAAATTGAGACTAAACCGCGTCAAGCAATGCCCTTAATAGTTATGCATAAGCTATATATACATAAGAAATCATATCATATTTTACCAATTTCGAATGTTAGCTAAAAAGAGTATTTTTCAGATTCAAACCAAAGCATAGATGTTTTTAGTTGATTATCTGTGCGTACACTGTTGGGACCAATGTACAGAAACTAAATGCCAGAGAAAGGGCAATACTTTTCCCTGAAGTTACTGATTATTGATTTAAGCCTTTTGGCCGGAACAAGGAATTTGCAAAAGTAATGAGTTATCAAGCAATAGGGGCATAAATAATCCGTGTAAAACAAAAAGAGTTGAATATATATATGACTTCTTTTCGTTCACATTACAAAAGACAAAAGCGTTAACATATCACTCTTAAGCCTTCATACAATGCCAACTTCACACTATCCCAATCCCTGCAATTCGCCGCAGGCTTTTAACGTAAAAAGGTGATTGAGCGTCAATTGAGAAGATTTTGACATGCAAGTTGCTCATCGTCCACCCCCAATCATCACCAACATCACCAACACCACCGCTTTCCCACTGTTGCAGCTCAGCTAGCTCTGCTTCGTGTTCTTCTAGGGTTTTCGCTGTATACACAGTCGTTTCACCCTCCGAATCTCCTTGGGAATCCTTCTCGTCGCCAGAAGGTCCGGTCTGATACATTTTAGTTGCCGTTTGAGTTTTGATTCTGTTGATCGCCTCGGACACAGAGGGCCATGCATCTCCGCCCGACTGCGGAGGCCCCGATACGGCGACTTTATTAGCACAGCTAGATGAGATGTTCGAACAATGTGAGCCTTCATTTTGCTCTTTCTTACGGCGGCTCGCTTCTTGCCGGATTCGCTTTAGCGTATCCCACGGCTCACGGGCAAAAGCCTCCGCGGCATTCTGTGCCTGTATGCCTGCGCGCGGGCAGGGCTCGTTGCCCCCTCTGGTTCTTACTGGTTGAGCCCTCAGCTCGGCGTTCGGCACTTGCCCAGCCTGCTGGTCGTGCGGGTGTGTGCTATTCACCTGTGAAGGAGTAGCAGCAGCACCCAGATGCGACCGTCTAGACACCTTCAGTGGGTCGAAGTTGTTGACCGCAAGCAGCGCGCCGCCATGCAGGATATGAAAGTTCAGTGGGGGCCCGAACAAATCCTCTGTGGTTGTCCTCGTGGTATTACCACCGCGTGTGGTGGGCACGCTCGGGGGGTTGTTCATTGGCCCGAACAAGGCAGGGTACACCAGGAGCCTTCGGTCACGTAAAAAGCGTGCCGGATGGGTCTGGCCACTCTTGCGGAAGCATACCATCCAAACGCCTTCTAAAAGGTCCTGCAACACAATGGTGCGCCGACGCGCTTCACGACGAGACATGTAGTACGCGAACTTCCACGAAATGGGCGAAACATTATCGACCTTACCATCTATGTCAACCTCACTGCTGTTTTCCCACTCCACATTGAACGCATTCAAGGCACTGTGGTTGGGTTGGGCGACCTCCCCCGTGTGATGTGCGACTGGCGCCGCCAACGACGAGAGGGAGGAGGACTGCTGCAGCAGCGGGAGCGAGCTCACCGCCCCCACCGAACCGAGCCGGGTCGGCTGGACTAAACAAACGGAATGCGCGACCTGGGAGGGGAGGGAGGGTAGGGTAGAGAGCCCCAACGCCTGGGCCCCACGGACGCCTTCCTCATAGCCACAGCACAGTGCCCCATCGATGGGGCACGGGCCGGGACGACTCGGGGAAGGGCCTGTAACTCGTCGACCCTCTGGAAGGGGTGGGTGTAGATGGAACAAAGAGCCGTGTCTGGTTAAGGCGTGGATGAGGATACTCTTCGAACGGGTCAGCCGCATGTCCCGTTCGATACTGCTGGAAGGGTCGTGACGTTCCTCCGTGGATTGACACGGGTCCCCGCCTCCCATGAGGGTGAGAAGAGCCCGGCTGGGAAGTGGTTTAGATTTTCGCCGCCTCGGGGTGTTGGATCCTTTGCTGCATCGACTGCTTCTAGAGGCCGGGGTTTCCCTTCTCCCGTGGTGTCCCTTTGTTCGTGTGTGTCGGAGGTCATCGGAGGGCCGAGTCCACGAGGCCGCATTCGGCTGCGAGACTGGTGCCGGATGGGTTTGATCAGTTGTCCTAACGCGTGTTTGCTTGCTGGAAGAGGTGTGACTTTCTCCTGCTAGACGTGATGCCCGACGCACCTTGACATCGACTACTTTTTGACGGCTATCCTGTGCAGCTCCCTCCTTATTGTGGCGAGAGAACGCTTTATGCCGTTTGTTTGAATTGGGCTTCAAAGAATCTGAAGTCCCTTCTGATAAGCTGCTTCTGTGGGAATACACGTGGGATGAGGCGTCGCGTTCTAACGACTGTATGCTTTCATCTCGAAATTTACTGTTCAAGATATTTGAGCATGTGTGCGAGAGGTACTGTGGATGAAGTCTCAGAGAAGCTGGCGGTGCATCAGATGCTGCCGCTATGGTAGATTCCCTCTGCCCCCTCCGTGCGTTTTCCGAGTCCTTTACTCCCCTCGCTCTGTTCTTTAGACTAACGCCACATACGGCCGATGGATGTCTCACTGCTTCACTGTACTCACCTTTTACTACTGCTGAGCTGTTTCCTTGGCTTCTGCGTGTGGGTGATGTCCGACGAGAGTGTCCACTTCGAGTACCCTTCAAACTCGCGCTAAAGCCGAGCACGTTTTCTTGATAAGAGGAGGAGCCGTTGTAAGCATCTGCGATGTCAAAGGAAGCCCACAGAGCCTCTTCACAGTCCTCCGTCGCGTGGGAGCCACTCTGGTTGCTAGAACCACTTCCATCGTAAAAGCTTTTGTCGAGCCGGCCCTGTTGACTGCAAAGCGCCCGCTGGCGTTCTGCAGGATTCATTTCCCACCAATAAAGCTCTGAAGAGTCTTGGGCTATTTGGGTTTGTTGTTCTCCAGACCCTATTTGAGGCGTACGCGGGTATTTTTCTTGTGGGTTCTCCACGAGTTCAGCTGACGGGAGTGCGAGAGCTGCGGGGCGCATGGTGGGCGAAGAAACGATCTGTCTTGCGGCACTTAAGGCGGGTGTGGTGCTTTGGATAGCCGCATACGTTGGGGTTGGGTTTAGCAAGTCCCCCACGTCTTCCTCCTCGTGATAGCCCCTGCCGACCTGGTAGGGAATTGGAGGTTCATTTTGCTTCTGGCGAAGTAGCTGTCTTTGTTTGGAGCGCCGATGTCGTCGTCTTCTGCGGGCGCTCTTGCTTGCCTTGTGGATCGCTGAACGCCTCGAAGAGTGGTGCCCTGAGCTTTTTTTTTGACGTCGTCTTCGGGATGACCTTTTTTGGCGTCGCCGGAGTTTGGCGCGTTGACCACAGCGACCTCTTTGTCGGTTGCGACCACGCGGACGGTGCTTTTGGCTACGTTTCCCCTTTACTGCCAATTTGTGGCGTTTCAGAGTTCGAACGTCTTTCCTAGATGAGCGGTGTGGCGGCTTTGATTGGCTTCGCTTGCGCCCATTTTGAGAATAGCACGCGCTTCGCGCATTAGAAGGGGGCGTTACTTTAGCCGCGTTACATTTTTCGTCATTTTTGCTTGAATTCCTAGTATTAGGGCACATGATGCTCTTAACCCCACGGCCTCTGCAGCCAGAACCGATGAGCTTGCTATCATCATCACGACTGCTTGTGTAAACTCGCTCCTTTGTATGTTTAGCGCACGGCAACTGTTCTTCATCGTTGGATTCCTCCGCTGCATTATCTTCACTGCCAACGCCCCAGTTGCTTGTGCTTGCTGAGGTCGATCCACTCATATCCTCGCTACGTTCTCTAGAACCCCTTTCTTCACCTTGGTATTGTTTTCCTTCCTTCTTTTTCTTCTTTTGCAGCTGATGCTGATACATTCGCCAAAACGCATCATGGCGACGATGCGCCAGAAGCGTGGTATTGCCATAAGTTGACACCAGATCAGAACCTTTTGTACCGCTGTTATAGTAATAATCATTTTTGGTTAGCTTTGCAGCATCAAAGGTCGCATCGCGTCTTACTCCATCGTCCGTTTCCTCACCAACCTCCGTTTTCTGTGCATTGGGGCGCTGATTGAATGACCAGTGATGGTTGTGTGCATGATGGCAACCCCTCTCAGCCGACATCATCATATGCTGCTGCAGGGATAAAATTTCCAGTTCACTCATTATTGCCACCCGTTTGAGGTGGTCCAGCTGCATAACAAATTTCTGGAAGCCTTGCTTATACTGCCACTGATGTAAGCACAGGTCGCGCCAGATGGACCCATCTGCATGGGTTATCGCCGCAGCAAGGCTTCGATTCACCTCTAGCAGCGTACAGTATTCCTTTTCACCAAGAAAGCTACACACGTGGATGAATATCTCAAATGGCAAATAAGAAGTCAGAGCAAAAGCAAGAGAATTCTGTCTGAAAACCGATTCCATAGAGGACGTGATCGGTGTGCTACTATACTCGCGTTGTCGTGATGTTGACAAAGAGAATATTGAAAGAGGGACTGAACCTCCGCTCGAAGTGTCTGACAAATAAGAGATCTCATCGCGTAGGGAGGAAAAAATATTATGAGTTTTTGATTGCCATCGCTGAATTTGTGATTCGTGTATCTTTGGTCGACGTTCATGCTTCCGACTTTCTATAGGATGTTGCCTTGAAGATTTATTTTTTGGACACCCACCCCTCACCATGGCCTCATCGCTGGAGGTGGAAGAAGTAGACGATCTGATATCGTCGTCGGAAGAATAATGAGCGTCAGTCCCTGACGACGCCCTCGCGTAGCTGTCGGAATCATCACAAGAGCTGTTAGGCGATGAGTTACCCTCACTCTTCACAAATGATGATGATCGCACAGAAGAGAACGAAGACGAAAAAGATTTTGATGAGTCCTCATAAGAAGATTCGTTCTGACGGGGCAAAATAACTGTCGATTCACCAATAGCAGGATTACAGTTTCTGTTCTTGCGAGACTTTGTGTGATACACCACACCTTCCGGACGATCTCTATTATCAACTTTAGATAATAATTTTGAAATATTTCCTTTATTTTGATCCGCCTGAACTCGCGTTCCCTGATATTCATTTGGATTTTGATAATCGAGCATAACACGATGTCTATCGTCTTTGCAGTTCCTGATGTTAGTGATCGCATTATTTCCTGCCCTTGCGTTTATTAGCTCAGTGGAGCCTTTATTTCTGATATTTTCAACATGATGACTTTTGATCTTTTCGTCCAACATGCACTAAGGGTGCCAGTGTGCTTAAGTATTGTTATCTAAAGAAATCAAAAAAACAAAACTAAACAATGCCTTTCTAAAGAGGGGAACTAAAACACTTTTATTCCGCCCTTCAACTGAAAATACCTATGCAATGGAGATGATTAAGTTATGATATTGACGTCCTTAGATTTCGAAAAAGTTATGTTATTTATACAAATATGAGTATAACACGAATGCGTATATAAATAAGCAACTATAGTACGATATACAAGCCTTGAATAACTAAACTTGTCATAAAATGATTGTAGAGGGAGTGAAGTGCAGTTACTCCTTTTACTTTTATATATTCACTTCGAAAATAGGAGTGCTGGTACCAAGCAAATGAAGATAAAAATTAGTTAACCAAGACCTAATAGAGACTTATCTTGATAAAGCAAAAGTGCCACAAAGCGAAATAAGAAGCAACAAAGGAAGATCATTAATTTCGACGAGTATGGGGTGAACGTTTGTGAGTTGTGGCGTCAGCTTCCAATGGTATTTAACGACATAGTAAAAAAGGCATTTATATCGCAAGTATCACTTACTTCCTTTCTTCCAAAGTCAGAATCTACACACACACACACTCCGTAAAAATGAACCAAGGTTTTCAAACGCCCCGGATCCTCTGCAGGGAAGAAACGAGCCCTCGCATTGGCGCTCATTCCGCCCTCCCCCCCTTCCCTACCCCACCGGATCGTTTCCTGGAGACGAGGATTCCGTCGCCTGCGTGGCGAATTTCCGCGCCCCCCAGGAGCTCGCGAGGGCGGCGTGCTGCGAGAGCGAAATTGCCTCCACGCACTGGCGATACTCCAGCGCGCTCGGGAAGCAATCGTGGAGGGGGAGCATTTCCCAATCCTTTCCGTCCTTTGGCGTGCCGCCGTTTGCATTCCCTTTATTGATAATGGCTTCATAGCATTTTAGCACCTTTGCACGCGCCTCCTCGCAGGGTTTGGCGGATAGCTTGAAAGGGGATTGCAGGGACGCGTAAAGACGCTCCATTTGCTCGAGGTTGGCGGATTCGAGACGTTTAAATTCCGATACCGCCGCGACGAGATGCTGCTCAGGAGTGTACTCCGCTTCCTCATTTTCAGAGTTCCCTTTTGGGAATACCATCTAATGCTATTATGGCGCTTAATCCCTCTTTTCGTGCTCAGTACCCTTCCTCGCTGAGCCCAAAACAAAATCTAACTCTCAGCCTAAGTATCCTTAAGTCCATGCATACATGCGTGATGAGAGTTAGGAGGGGTTAGATAATAGCACATGTTCCTTCTCTTTCCAGATCATCACATCGCGAAATCAACAGTGGAGTCCAAACAGTCTCTCGTTATCTCTTTATATAATAATAATAATAATAATAATTTTATACTATTATTATTAAAGAACCTCAGTAATTCAAAGCCAGGCATTAAGCCTGATCCATGGGTCGATGCCGGTTCAAACTTCACGTGCAAGCCCAAATTTCATTTCTTCCCCACCTTTTCTCAATCTTTTCTTTTTCAGTTTCCAAAGCGTCTACGACCTATCACGCGTCGCCGCCTCCCACGCAAGGCCGCCTTTTCCTCCGGAGATGGCGCGGGCAAGGGGAGGTTGAAATCACCCTTCCGCGGCACGACGCTATCGGGGGAGCCAAAGAAATACGGAATATCCGCGGCGTGAAACGGCCGCGCGACGGCCCCACGGACGCCAAAACTACCCCGCATCGAACGTTTTCGCCGCGACGAACGCAGCCTTTCCCGCACTCGACGAACCCCTTCCTGGATGTCGGCGGTTTCGTCCTTTTTCGTTTCCACGCTTTCCTTCCCAATCTCATCTCCGAAAGGGCGGACGTGCCCGTCCACGGAGAGCTCCTCCAACCCGTGCGCGAATTCCACGGCGGCTTGAAATTCCGGATCGAGGATCGTCGCGCGTTTAATCTGCTCGAGCCCCTCGAGAGATTGACGAACGCGGGCGTCTTTTTGCGCGACCGCGAAGAGAACCTCGTTGCTCGGCTGCAAGGCGCGTGCGAGGAGGGAGGCTGTGAGTTTTACCCCACGTAACGGCTGCTCGCCGAGATGGGTGAAGGGGGTTTCTTCGAGTTTTTCGAGCTGACGGAGCTCCTTGGCGGAGATGTCGTCGAACTGCCGTTGCTTAACTTTTTGGAGGATAGGGGCGAGGTCGCACGTGGGCTTCCCAGCGAGATGTGCCTCGCGAATCGACGAGGTGAGCTCCTTTGAGTAATAGCATTGACGAATCTTTTGTATTTTTTCTTCGAGCAGAAACAGCTCACTTTCCGCTTCACCGTCGACGGATGAATCTTCAGGATGGCTTGAGGTTCCTTCCGTCGTTTCTGAATTTTCCACTGGCGATGCTAAGAGGGCTTCAATAACGTCCGCGTCGAGTATCCCACGTTTCCACATAAAGCTGATTTCATGCTCATCACATGTGTCGAGCGCATTCAGCCAAGCAAGCCGCGATAATTTCGCCGGCGACGTTTCATCCGAAATACGCTGCTGGAGCTTCTCCTTCTCCGATTGGTGGCTACCCTCAAGTTTGTCGAGCAATTCCAAAAGCTTTAGTTGCTCATGCTGCATTTTCTTATGGGGAAAGAAGATCTCCGCGTACTTTTTCGTGATTTCCTTGCTTTTAGGCCGCATAATTTCGTCAAGATGATTCAGAAATAATTCATACGCGAGTGAATCTGCTTTGGTTAAACCTTCTATCACCTCCTTTCCCTTGTAATAGGCATCGTTCGGTTTATTGTGCATACGGTAATGATTCAGTATATCGCTGGTTGGATCTTTATTACTATTCTTCAAGGGGTATTTTTCTTCCATTTGGTCTTTCTTCTGCATATTCCTTGATTCCTTTTCGAGAGTTTGCTGAAAGCGTTCAGCTCGCATCTTCTTAATCTCGGACTGAATTCGATCCAATGTGGTGGTTGCCGGTGCAGCCAACATTCCTCCAGTGTGGATCCCAGATGCACTCGCACCATTGCTAGGCTCTTTAGTTGGCAACGCTTCCTGTAACGAGAAGGGATTTACTACTGAAGCTCTTTTACGCGCGAACCTTTTTGATACAAAAAAGGCAAAGTATGCCACCGAATGCGGTTTCACAAGTGTCCTCATGGTTCACTCCTGTTACCAGAACTAGTAATATCCTAAAATGGTAAGTGTGATAGACGAGGACGTGAATTTCAGAGGGAGAGGTGTTAGTCATAAAGTCCGCAATGATGATCAGCACATTGATTTTCAATATAGAGAAATTCGTCATGAATCGCTAATCCAGCTTCGAATTCTTTTTTTATTCCCCGTAGTTTCTTCACACGCGGATGTAAATTTCTGCAGATGACTGGAGTGTATTAAAATCACTTTTTTCCTGAATGATATCGCTTAGAGATGAAACTGTGATAGCGGCGACGCCCCAGCATGGGTCATTTTTCTTACGAGCTTCTTCACACACAAACTGAAGCGTTTGAAGCGCCTCCATCCACGATTCCGTGAACATTAGCGATTGGTACCCGACGGAGGGTTTAGTTATGGGAGAAGGATCCTTTTCAACAAGAGAAACGATAGGAAACGCCCCGCACCAACTTCGCATGAGCTCCCCCAATACAATCCAACCTTGTTTTCGCACCTCAAGGTGTGGGTGCTGCGTGGCGGCGACGACGAAGAAATCAAAGTTGCTTTCACACAGCGGAACGATGATGTGGCGAACTTGAGTGAGGGATTGGAAGATGACCACAAGCGTGCGTAGCACTTCTGACGGCGTAAAGGGATCTGTTGTTTGGAAAAACTTAAAATGCTCTCGATCCAATCGAGCGAGAAGACATGAAAAAAAGAAGGGCGCCTCATCCCCGAGGAGGTTGCGATAGCGCTTACGATTTTTTAACGCCGTTTTCCTCCCCTCCACCGCATTGCCCCATCGCCGAGTGTTTTTACCCTCCATTAACGAAGTTTGGCTCTTCAGCGGGTGGCTCTCAATCGGTGGGTAAATTCGCTTTTTCTTTGTATCATTCTTTTCGGGCAATCCTTCGCTATCCTCTAGTATTTCCACCCGAGACATTATCTTTGCAGCTTCACCAACCGCCTTAATCATCTCCGACCGTTGATAGATGGCGTAGTTGCTTCCGTAAATCATGGTGCTAAGCTGGCGGAGAGACGCCCTCGGCGAGACCACGATGAGATCGACGATGATGAGAAACCTTTTATGATACAGGTTCTCTTGTTTCTGATCTGTTGCATGTATGGAAAGCAGCATAAGCGTTGGAATAAGCGAAGGTATCAGTGGATCTACTTGGGTTAAGAAAGGCAAAGGTCGCAGCTGCTTCTTTCTCTCCTTCATGGGATGCAAGGCTTTCAGCATACCCTCTAGTCCCGCTTCTATTGATTGTTGAACTTCATAGAGCTGTGCACTCGGACTTCTACCAATGCCAACTAGTGCTTCGTATGAGGCGCGAAAGGTCTGCAATATCGCGACGTCCGTCTCATCACTCGGAATTTTTTGAACCCCAAACGTTGGAAAATGCGAGCGCCGGGGTTGATCTACAACAGAAAATTCCCCTTCCACCTTCCCTTCGTTTGTTTCCCTTGAGCTGCCTTGTAGAGCGAAAAAGTAATACCCCTCATCAGGATCCAATGGGTACCGTTGCATCTGCGCAGCCTCCGTTCGAAGAAGCATTTGCTCTGATTCAGTCACGTTTTTTGATTTAGAGGATGCTTTGTGATTTGCGGAGGGAATTGCGACCGATTCCCCCTGCATCCAATCCTCCAAGGCGAGCGAAAACGACTCATTCTTAAGAAGACCCTCCACCGCTTCCGCGCTATCCACAAAGAGTTTCGCAAACGCGGCGGCCGCAACCATCCCCGCCTTTTGCAAGGGCCTGTGAACACTATCTAACCGAAGGGTGATGCCGTCCAAAAAGAATGACAGGATCTTTGGAGGAAACTTTCGCTTCTCTGCTGAGGGAGCTGTTTCCGATATATTCGTCCAGAACAGCATGAAATACATCACCGAGTTCAGAAGGGTTTCGTTTAGCAGAAGCGTTCCAGAAAGGACGGTGTTGCTACAGTCCCACGCCTTAAGCACACACTCTTCCGCACCTGCTACCAATTCCTTTCCTTTTTCCCCTGCAGCCCAAATGCTAGGAAAAACCACTTCGAATAGAAATTTTAATTCCATCCGAGGCGTGAATAACGTTGATATGGCCTCACGGAAGATAAACTGCCGTACAAAGGTGCAAACAAGTTCATCGCTTATGAAAAGCGCCGAGGTTCCACTATCCTCAACCGCGCTGTCTGTATCACAAGAAGCTACCTCTTCCCCCAAAGCAATCGATGCAAAGATTTGTGCTACCATGCGTTTCCAGTCCGATTTCTGCGCGCCCATTCGTAGAAGAAAATTCATCCACTTCCTCCAACAGCTATTTGCTCTCTCGATCAACGTGTGACCCCGTGATGGGGCGGTTTTATTCCTGGAGCAAAACTTACGATTCAGCGAACCGGATAGCATGCCCTTTGTAAATATGATCAGGTGTCTTAAAAGGGACTTATCATCCGCGTTTTGAGCAAGCGGAATGCTCATGAGGCGTTCAAGTAGCACCTTACAATCAGATCTGCTAGCGGCAATGCTAGCAAAAACGTAGAGAAGTGCCATAACCTGACTTGAAGTAAAGGGATCTTCACTTGGACGTTTGGGCAAGCAAAGCGACCAAACGGCGTCATAGAGCTTCGCCAGGTAAACGCCGCTGTCTAATAAGTCAGCTGTGCTATCTTTGAGTGTAGCACAGTAAGAGGCAAATTGCTCAGGGAAGGAGACCAGATTCCGAATTTGCTCCTGAAGTGAAATCATGTCCAGCGGTGTGGCGTCTTTGCTGGAGCTGGGAAAGCTAAGTGCGATGTTTTCGAGAGCCTTTGTGTATGGCGAGTCCGCGGAGCCGTTTTCCCTCGCTAGGTGCGATGCCAGCGGAACGACGCTGATTAGGGCGTCTATAACAACATTCGGTGCAGGTATCCCCTGGGCTCCACACTGTCGAAACCCATTTACTAACAGAAAAGCAACATCAACACTCGCATCCCTGGTCATATGCTCTTCAACGCAAATAAATTAATATGTATATATCGATTGAAGGTTTACTTCTTAAGTTTCAGATGGAAGCATGACAAAGAGGGAAAAATATTGGTACGCCCTTTCCACAAAATAATAATCCACATGTGTCCTCGCTATCTGGGATTCTAGGACTCTGCGTGTGACGCTATTTTGTTACAAACATCTTTGAACCCATCAATGGATAAGGTTTGGAAACTTCCAATCGTTTGAGGATTGCTTCAAGTCTTTGCTTTTGTCACCAGCATTATGGAACTTTTTAAATCGATTATTATGGGTGTTACTTCTCCAGACGAGTTATAGAATTTGTCAACACCAAAGTCTTCTTACTAATGTCGTGCACGTTATATGCATCTCGTTCGGAAAAGAAAGGCTGCACACCCATAACGCATGTGGCGTGTAATACCACTACGCACACCACTGCCTCTATCTGAAATTTGGTACTATCCTCGCGTTTTGGACTAATGTAGGACGGGGAGAGTACGATGAATCGATTAGCGGGAATGGTTGCCTGCAACTCCGAAAGATACAGCGCCTTTTTTGCCTCCACATTTGAGTTATTTTTAACGGTTAATTGAAACACAATTTTATGCATCCCATTTCTTCTAATTCCAACGTCAGCGGGATGAGTTGCCTTCTCGTTGTCTTGTTGAGACGCTGATGGCCATTGCTGCGCAGGAGCTACATCGAGAACTCTAGTGAAGGCAACCTCTGAAAGTGAATCGTAAGTGGAGGGAGGAGCTGAATTGTTGGGTGGAAAGTGCAGCTCCATGAGTTTACGTAGTGCCACCTGCATCTCTGGTAAGGTCGGACAGCACGTCAACTCCACCGGCATCAAGCGAAAGCAATGCTTAAAAATCGGGCGCGGGTTCTCGTGAAGATCTTTAAATATCCGCTCCACGAGATGGGAGACCAGAGGATTGATCAGAATGGTGTGCGCGGGCATGGCCCCACGATTCAGGGCGCCCTCCCCCTCTTGCGGCGCGTCGGGCGCCCGTTCGTCAGAGGGTCCCTGTGAGAGGTCAGTTGCCGCGTCCGTCCCGCACGACCGCAGTCCTTCCCGTTGACTCCGCGCGGCGTGACACGGAACGCAGGTCCGCCCTGGGGAACCTGAGGGGACACGCAGGAGGAGGTACCCTTTGCAGCTCGTCTCCAGCTCCCCAAACCACCGCGGTGTCACAACGGGCGGGCGTTCCGTCAGGGGCAGTCCGGGCTCAGGACGGGGCCGCTTCCCCCGACCGCCCTGGGACACTGCCGCGGAGAGCTCCAGGGCGAGCAGGCCGGAGGTGGTCCCCGCCCGTGACGTTCCATCGGTCCCCGCTTCCGGCCTCTCTTTTCCCTCTGCGGCCTCGTCTGTTTCGGTCACGCCGGGACAGACCGTGGTGGGGCCTCCCGAGTTTCGCCCCTCCGAGGCCTGGAGGTCGGCGGTGAGACTAGAAAGGTAGTTTTGGGCCTCGCGACGGGCGCGGAGGCTCTGCTTGGGGTTAATCGTGAACAGAAGGCCGGCCTGGGCGTCGTGTGGGACAAGCATGCGGCCCTGATGGCCCTTGTGGAAGCGCTGCTGCGAGTCTCGATAGCTGCACGGCATGTCGATGGGGCTCTGTGTGAAAGGGGACGAGGATAATCGTCTAGGAGTTGGGAAGCTGTGGGTTGTATTATAACATTTCGCGTCACAACAAGGAAGACGAAGGGAACGGGTGAAAAGGAAGTAAATTATTAGGAACGATTGGACGCAGATGTATATTTATTGAGATACTGCACCGGATATGAAATATACTCGCTATTTAATGTCGCTACAGTCACCGAACAAAATATTAAATACATTAACATTGAACAATTGTAAAGGCAAAAAAATAACGCACCTGCGTGCATTTTTTTTGATGCATTAAGCAAAATATTAATGTTAACGCTTAATGAGAGGTTTTAATTCTTGTACGTTTTAAATCAATTTACTACCAAACGTCCGTCCATCCTTCTTTTTTATCTTACTAATTCAATTATTTTAGTTTTCCATGGAGGATCCAGTTTACATTCAAAACACTCCCACCCCAAAGACAGCGAGGGCTCACAGTTTCGCGTTCAGACGCGCGGCATTGTAGACACACACCGCTGCATACAAACATATTAAAACCAAGAGCGGCCACACCGAAAACGTCACGTAGAAGCTCAAATACATAAATAAATAGTTAACGCTAAAGAAAAAAACATGCAGCACCCACTGACAAAGCTCAAACAGAATGGTCGTCGGCAACCGCCCTGGACCCAAACACGTAACAAAGCGGTATGGCAACCCGTCACGCCCGCCAGGCGGGTGTTCCATCATCCACGTAAGGGCCGTTACGCGATTGAACATGTTGGGGTGGATACTTTCTGGGGTGTTTGCAGTAGAGGGCGACTGACCCTCCATCTCGGACGCCTCGGAAGGTCGAATCAAGCGCAGGACGCTCCTCATATGCTTGCGGCTTTTTTGGTGACGTTTTCGTTGGATCTTGCATTTGCGTTGATAGCGGCGAACTTCATAGAAGATGTGGTAAAAGACCTGCCACACACAAAACATTAGGAAATGCAACCAAAGCATGTGCTCGTAGGTAACGGCCTGCGCGAGGCCTAAACAAAACGAGTCGTCACAGAGCGCGTGCAGGGGGTTATGGGAGTTGTACGCGACAAGACCCAGGTGTGGGTTTCTCCATGTCGTATTGAGGGTCTGTTTTGCGAACGCCCCAATGCCTGGTGGAGGGAATCCGGGCAGCGAATCGTTACGTCCGTTTAGTGTCGATGCTGGGGGCATGAAGTGATGTACTGCGTGCACGGACGCGATTTTCCGCCGTGCTGAGGTAAAAAAGCAGTGCAAGAACATCCCTTGAATCACGGCGGGCATCAAATGAAGGTAACACGAGGACATGCGATCAAAGGAGTGAAACGCTAGGGCGTTGTGCCACATAGGAATGGCACCGAGGATGGGCCCTAACGATCCCGCAAGTAAGGTAACAAAGATCACAAACAGGGGCACCAAACTCTCATGGGAGAGGTTGGCAGTTACATAGCTGCACGTCAGGATGCTAACCGAGACGGGATAATGTATCCCATCCAACGGAAGCCCTATGTTATACCACTTCATCTCTCGGGGTGTGTTTGATGGACGAAAACTCGAGAAATTTTGTAACAAGAATTGAACCCCCTTCCACGACCTCGGGGCGAGCCCGGAAAACGATATGATAGGTTCACTAGACCACTCTACTTCCACGAGGAGTCGGAGAAGGAAAAATACCAACAACGCGTTGTGAAAGTAACAGTAGTCGAGAAAGAAGTAATGAAATCCCTGCATGCGGTAGATGATGTACTTGTGGCTCATTGAAATCACTAAGCTGACAATATAGACCCATACAAAGATGTCAACCATGTGTCCCGATTCGCCGCCCTCCTGCGCAAGGGATGCGAAGAGGGAGCGCTGAGGCTGTCTGTGTCCTAGAGCGGGTCGGTTTGACATTCCTGCATATCCATTACAGGGATGCTCATTTTTACCACTGCTTCCACCAGCAGCGTTGAATTCATTCGATTCACGCGACGACGAGGAGGAGTCTACAGTGGGAAGTCGGCCATAAACGTAGGGGGAACTCGAAATGTCGAAGTAGACAGTAGATATGAGACCAACAAGAAAGAATGAGAGAATGCAGTTAACAAAGTATCGCCATTTTGAGAAGCGTTTGTTCATCGTCTTCGTTTATTATTACGCATATAATCTGGATCCTGTAAGCAAGCATAGAGAATATAGGATAAAAGGGTAAAATAAACAAACACAGAGGGACGTGAAACAGCAGGAAAGACATTTTTTTTACTGCCACCCTGTGGAAAAATTGTACAGATCATCCACCTAGGAAAATCATATTCTAAACGATTGGAGGAATCTGCATACGAATACATCAGCCACTATGATGATTTTTTATTGGAGCTCTATATAAAATGCCCTTGAAAAATATGCCTGTATTCTCTTTTATTACTTACTCCTTAGGTATTTTTCCCCGTTGACAGTTTGTCGACTAAACGATTTCTATAATGAAACTAACTAACTATCTGTAGCATTTGTATACTGCACACAGACACTCAATACAATTGTATGAATTACTTCACTTCTAGTAATTTTTTTTCTATAGATTCAACTATTCCATGCAAGTCTTCTTAGAGATACTGATACCAGTGGTATTCTCTGTATTCTATCCACGTTTCAGCCATGTAAATGGAGCGTTATCACTAAATATGAAGAGATAAGATGATAATATAGAAAAGGGGCCCACTTCTCCCCATACATGCCAGCACATTGATTGATGGTTTCGTATAAAAAACGATTTTTCTCATCAAAAAATGGTGGAAAGGAGAGAAGTTGTCTTTTTTCTTACCTCAAAGGATTTCACTTACCATAAAACACATCTAGATAAAGTATTATTAGCTCAAGCTTTGCGCTACAGTAACGGCGACGAACCCACTGACCACGCTAAACCCCATCCCCAGCCGGATGCGAACCCCGGGCACTAACGCACATTCGAACAAGAGGATCAAAAAACAGCCCAGAGCCACCACGACTTTGCTTCGCGACCCTCGCCCCATGAACGCACTGGTGAGAAGTCCCAGCACCGCCGCCACGAGCAGAAGCTGTTCTACCTTGCATATCCACTGTCGGACACGAAGAGGCGGCCAGGCGGAGCCCTCCCAGGCCCCTTTGGATTGGAACGGACCTTTCCACAGCCGACACGACGTCGCGTCTGTGACACCGCGGGAGAGCAGCTGGGCCCGTCGCCCGACCAGCTGAAGGAAGGTTTCGGCCTCCGTTAAGGCTGTCCCAACGGCCAAGGTCCCACCCCATGTCGTGTTAGAAAAGCCAAAGGCCGGTAATGCGAAGAGGCCGAGGAGGAGGATGCCAAAGGCACAGACACCGGCCCAGCGTTTCGCCCGTTGTCGCTGGGCGACCTCGTCGAGAAGCTCCTCCCGGTGCGTTTCGTACCAACGCGTGAAGGCGGGACGACTGTAGAGGGCGTCGAGCTCGCTTGACGTGATGTCAGTCTGGGCGTAGATCTGATCCAACCTGTTAGTACGGAAACGTTGCGCGAGCAGAGACGGGCGAGGGGTGGGCTTTAATAACGGCTCCCCTGATAGAAATGCTACGGCAGGGCGCCTCCAGGAGACCCGCCATCGATTCAAGAAGGCTCGTCGGGTTGGAGGGGCATCATCCGCGTGCGTGGACGGCCCGGGAGTGGAGGCGGTCGACTCGCCTTTCTTAAAGGTCGATTCAACCAGGATACTACCGGGGATCGGTGCCGTGTTCTTTCTGGAACGAAAAGGACTTGGTGATGTGCTTGGCGAGGCTCGTTCTTCGCTTTGAATATTGCTACTGCGACTTGACTTCTTACCATCACTGGTGTTTCTGGATGTCATTTTTGTAGACATCGGCGTGAAAAAGGCATCCTCGCTGGCCGTGGACGCACGTGTGGGTGTTATGGCCACACTCGGAACGGAATCGCATCGGTTTCGGTTCAGCAACAGTGCCTTTCGGCACTTGGTGCGCATTTCCCTGTAAAAGCATTGGTGAAAGGTGCGGACGCGATGGAAGACAAATAACAAAATACGCAAGACGATACGGCCGAAACTATCACCATCGGCTCTCGTTTTCGGCTGTAAAATAAAGACGTATATAGGAGCTACGATTGATGCGATAAGTGCTGCATATGTTGCGGCTATCGGGTCGAGAAGTTGTGCGTGCATGGGACGGCTAGAGAATATCCTTCCAAGACAAGATGTCAGCTTACACACACACAGGGCGGAGAAGTACGCAAAATAATGTGGTAAACTCTCCCAGAATTTTTTAAATTAATTTGAGTTTCCTTGAGCACAGTAAAATTCAACCCTTGCTTTGATTATTATGAACCACCCAAAAACACAAATTCTGGACTTATGGATTTCGTTTAGTTGCTATGCTTGGCTCCGCTTCTTGAAGAAGGATAATATGCCACAATTTGATAGGGATATGAAATCACGCAAAGAAATCTATAGTCTCAAGGAAAGCAAGAAAACGTTTTACCTCAATGAACCCGCTTCGCATAGTTTATTAGATAAAGTCAATTTAAATGTCTATATGTATACTTGTGTTAATGCTCAGTTTTGCGTCTGAATTCTTCTACAATTAAGTTATATGGATCCCTATTTTTTTGTACTACTTAGAAAATATTGATTTGCGTTGCCCATAGGTCAATTTATTATGTTTAAACCAACAAAAATATTTAATTACAATAACTACAATATAATTTTTAGATGTATTTATTTCTTAAGCCTTATAGCATCATCAATAGTCTTCGCCAGAAGTTTCACAGTTCGTTCGGTTAAGCCTGCCATATTTGCTCGCCCCGTTTGTGTAATAAATACATTATGAGATATGCAATAGTCGCACTGCTCTTTAGTGAGTCCGAGTAAAGAAAACAAACCGATTTGGCTGAGAATATGTTCCCATGAGCCAGGGGTCCCAAGCTCTTTAAGATTATCGTAGAGAAGCTGACGCATAGTTCTGATACGCGCAGAGACCACCTTCAGTTCCTCTTCCCATTCTTTACGGAGCTCTTGGTTGGTGAGGATCAAGTGCACAAGTCGAGCGCCGTGAATAGGTGGGGTGGTATAACACCTGCGAATGATGAACTCAATTTTACCCTTGACATCAGGCACCTGCGACTTATCTTTGAGCACGACCGATAAGGTGCCAATACGCTCGCCATAGAGGCCAGTGTTTTTGGAAAACGACTGCGAACAGACATTTTGAACCCCCCGCCGGGTGAACAGACGTAACGCGTACGCATCTTGATCAACGCTTCCGGTTGCGAATCCGTGGTAGGCGGCATCAAAAAAGGCGAAGTGGCGTTTGGCGAGGAAAATCTCGACAAGCTCATCCCACTGAGCGTGGGAGGGATCGATGCCGGTGGGGTTGTGCGCGCAAAGGTGCACCAGGATGATCGAACCGTCAGGAGCGTTCTGGATATCCTCCTTCATCCCTTGGAAATCCAGACCGATCGTCTTAGTATCGAGGTAGCGATATGTCTTCGTCGTCCACCCGGTGAAATGGAAGATGGAAGGGTGGTTTGGCCATGTGGGGGAGGGGATGTAAACTGGTTTCGTCGTCTTGTCGAAGATGTAACTCATCAGTTGAGCGCCCACGTAAACGGCTCCAGTACCGCCAACCGTCTGTACCGCCGCCAGGTTCTCTCGTTTGGCCGAATCAGCGTACAACAGCTCCATCGCGGCGTCCACAAATTCTTCGTTTCCGGCCATTGGGAGGTACTCATAATTAAGATTTTGATCCATCAGCATGCGATCCGCCTTGCGTACGACTTTGAAGGGATAAGGTTTACCTTCTTCATCTCGGTAGGCGCCGATCACAAGATTGGCTTTGGGCTCCTCCGCGTCCCTGGCGGATTTGTCGAGGGACATGATCGGATCATACGGGGGCTTCTCCATATGAACCCAAACGTCGAGAGGAACAGCTTTGGAGCTCATTTTTTTTCGTCTTTTTTCGCTTTTGATGGACTTTTAAATAAGACAATTTAGATTTTTATACTTGCACAGAAAAGAGAACCACTACGAGGGGGAAAATGAGGCTCATAGAAATGATATTTGGAATTAGAAGGAAAGCGATGAAGTAGTACAGTCTCATTACCCATCCTACAACACGTCCTCTTTTTCCTTTTCTACAAAGCAAATAATTCATCCATTTGACGTTTGCCTGATATCCTCGCATATACATACACAAACATATATATTTATATATGTATACATATTCATACAAACATAAATTGTTACTTTTGTAAGCCAAATTACCCCTCCCTGAGCGTATTACTCATCAAGCCGCTTTAACACCTCGTTCAAACACTCCTTCTTGCTTTCTGTCAACGACGCGTATGCCCACTGCACCATCGCATCCATATTTGTACTCGTTAGGGCGAGGTCGTCTTGCTGCCGAGAGATCGATTCCGGATTTGAATGATCGCCGCCATTGCCCTCGTCCGCTGCGCTACAAAATGACGTCAACAGAGCCTTATCGTCGAGATTCGCTCGGCTGGAGTTCCCCACCTTGCTGATATCCGTCGCGGAGCTGTTTGGAAAGCGGCTGACCCCTATCTTGCCTTTCTCCGATAATACGACTGACGTGCAGGGCAAAACGGAGCGCATTGGGTATAATATCTGCTGAATTCTCGCGTTCGTTGTTTTATCCGCTGTGGACCGTCCCTCACCGTCGATTAATGAGGCTTTCGATGCGTTGCTAACGGCGTCACCGCTGTTTTCCGCCGCCATCAGGGATGATTCTTCCTCGATGCCCCACGCGCTGCTTCCTCTCCATAAAAGAGGATCCGCTGCCAACCAACCCCGTTGTGCGTGATCACACGGTTGAAACGAAAGCGCACGCATCACCGACGTCAAGCGCCTCGCCGCGCTCCATTTTCGCCGTAACGCCTTCTCTTCATTGTTCTCCTTATTTTCTTTTCTCTCTTTTTGGGTTGTGGAGCTCTCCCCTGATGTCACCTCCGCCATGGCAGGGTTCCCCTCACAACGAAACCCTTCCTCAGCGTCGTCCTCTGCGTGAGAAAGAGTGCGGCCGCATATACCTAATATCTCCTTTAGAAAAGTTGTATTTAATCGCACCAACGGGGCCTTTTCATCCCCGTTGTTGACATCATGGCAATCCACCGCAGACGTTATCTTTCTTGTGGTTACTTCTGGGTGATATCGCGTTCTTTCCTTGTTTTGCAGTCGTTTTAGCCGTTCCTCCCACTCCAATCCGGCGGATTGATTTAAAAGATACTGTAAGGGTGGGTACGACGGCAAGAGATCCTTATCGATCTGAGTTGGGGAAATGGCGGCGGTGGTTTGTTTCTCGGAAATCTTATCTGGTGTTGGGTGCATCACACACTCCGAGTGATAATACGCTTTATTTTCTGCATGATATTTCTCCTGCTCCTTCCGTATTTTGCCAAGGAGCTGCTGTATTTCTTCCTCTGCTGATGATATCTGACTAGTACTTCCATTCGTCGTTAAACCTTCCTGCGGTGGAGCCGCGCGCTCAGGTTGACGGGCGCTATTCGGAGCGGCAAAACGCACCAAAGTCGACAACGACGACGACGGAGGGGGAAAAGGTGGAAGGTTAAACTTGGCGACCGATTTTTCCCCCGCCATCTTCATCTCACTCATACCCACTTCCTTTAAGGAAAACAAAGAGGTCCTCAGCGGAACCCGCTCCTCGCCGCCTTTCCTGGCCGAATCGCTCGGATTGGTGAGGGAACTTGTCGACTGCGATGGCGCGGCGAACTCCGGCAGCGCTAAACGAATACTTTGCGGCTGCGTAGAGGTTCTAGATGGCGACGTTTCCCCCGCCCTCGGCGGGTTTCCCGCCGCCTTCGCGCAAAAATCCACACGCGAGATCGCGCGCACCTGTCGAGGCGACGCTCTCGTCGCCGGGATAACGCTCTCAGGCTGGGGTTGCCACTTCATCACCGTGGTGGTGCTTCGAGAGGAAGGGGATGTCGGCTTCGAGGAAACTCCCGCGGTGGGGTTCCCCAAGGAGGGAAAACCACGAGGAAACACCCTTGTTTCCTTCTCAGGGGCCTCCCCCACGAGGAAGGGGCGATCATCGCTAACGCTGGAATCCTCCTTTCTCCAATTCGAAGCGGCGGCGTCGCAGGAGGCCGAGGAGGAGAGCAGCTGGTGGGGTTGGTATTGAAGCAGCGTGATGCTTTTCTTCGCATCGGCCTCATCGTCGCCATCAGTCGGTGTGTTCCTTCCGTCGGATTCCTTCCCACACGGCGAGCTTCTCACTTTTGTAGCCGTTTCCACCCCTCGATGTTGCATCAACCCATCCCGCACAGGATTCCCATCGATGGTGTCGTTAGGGGACTCGTTGGGAGGAATCCTCGTCAAGGCGCTGCTCGCCGTCGGAGTTCGCGAATTCGCGGGAATCTCAGACCCCCGCGTGAGGCTGGACGGGGGAGTTCGCGTGGTGGCATCGGACGCGCTCTCAGGCGCGGCCTGGATCGAACTCGAGGAAGGGGTGGTGTCGACGGAGGAGCCGCGGTTTGGCCGGCCAGCGACCCCGCAAGAGGAGGGATCGCCGGCGAAAGGAACTTCCGATGCGCCTCCAAGGCGGCAACGCGCGCGCGCGTTGTGCCCATCGGACCCGCCCTCACGCGAGCTTTCGGCCGGATTTAAACCATCCAGTTGGGTGGCGTCGACGTTTTCCGGGCCGCTGGATCCGACGGATCCCTCTTCCGGCATGTTTTTCTTCTTTTTTCTTTCTTTCTCGTGCTTTGGCCTCGATTTGCACCGTCGATCGAGCGTTTAGCGTAGAGGCAATGCGAATAAAGGCAGTATTGCTAATATGTTAGGTGTGATTCAAAACATTCACCGGAACACTTTTAAGGCAAAGGAGAATGGAGAACCAATACTACGCAAAAAACATTATATCAATAAAAAGAAGAGGCATCAAATCACCATGCAGAGAACCTTTCTTGTTTTGAGTATCAATACAGACATACAACGAACAAAAAAGAAATCACGTATATAAACGAGTATCGATGAAGACTAAGCAATAATCTCACCGGAGCATTGGGTTTTGCCTTCACGTTACAGGAGGCAGAGAGAAAGAGTGAACGAGGGTTTAAGCATGCGTTACGGCGCTTGACATGTATTACGTGTTGCCGAACCCACGCACTATTCGCTAAGGAAAAAAGCCAAAAGGGGGGAAACGATCCCCCTCGCCTTTAGAAGTGAATGCTTTATGTTTAATAGGAAAATCCCATTTATCCTTAACTAATACGCTTCATTGATTACGTGTCTTTTTGGCGTGCCCCCACACGTTTTAGGTGAAATATGATCACGAAAGGCATTCGAATTTTACAAGCTTCTCTGCGATGTTGATGTCGAAAAGAATATATCATTCAAGTAGCCAGTTTAATCAGTTTTGTTCCCATTATTGGGTGAAAATCTCTTTCCGACTATAAGCATTCTCCCATCCCTCCCTTTTTCCTCTTGCACATGCCTGCTTTGAGCCCGGACTGCACTCATATCAGACCTCTCATTATGTATAGTTTCCTGAATCTGGACCTCCACGCCCTTTTGAGTTTCACTTTTCACTGCCAAAAAAAAAAGTAAAAGTACGCCAGCCATCATCTTCCGCTCCCGCCATTTCAATACCAAAGGGTTCCATCACAGCCCTATCAAGACACCATGCCATACCCCCCCCCCTCTTCTCCTTTCTTCCTTCGCCATTACGCGTGTGTGAACCCCACGATGCGGGTCGTCCGGGCAATGAAGTACCCTCCAACCGCGCGATTCCGTCATTTTTCTTCAATGCGGTCCGCATTGCTTTCTTTTTTCTTTTCTTTTATCCCCCCTCGTCTTCCTCCTTTAGGCGAATAACCTCGACTGCAGGATGGACTCCCCGTGCTCGAGGTACTCCTCCCGACTCACCACCATCCCCGCAAACGTCGAGAGCTGCGCGAGGAAGGCGGCGCCGCGCCAGGCGGCGAACCCCCGCTCCGCCGTGGCGACCACCCGCACCCGGCGTTCCCGCGGGACCCCACGGAGGACCTCCGCGAGGGCGCGCGCGGGGAACCCCGGGAGGAGGGTGGACCCCCCCCCCCACCACC